CTGTGAACGTTTTATTGTATTCCTAGTGTAATTTAGTGCTCACTTATGCTTTTCCCTTTTTGTTTCCTTTCTTTAATTGCCTGATGTTAAATTTCCTCTATTCCATTACTTCCCTGTTTTCCACATAACATTTCTTACCATTTAAAAAAAATAATAATAATAAACACCAACAACAACAATTAAATAACAAAACAAGGACAACAGTAAAAAAATATAAATTAATTTATTTAGCACATCAAAATTTTTAAATTCAGTGTACAGAAGTACAATAACAGAGTTAAACAATACATCAAAACCATCAATGTATGAAGCTAAAATAAACATTTAATAAATACATTTTATCTAACCATAAACAACACTACACTCTATTCAAATTTGTTTGTTAGTTGTACACTCCAAAACATCTCTTGCTGCTTTTTACACTGCGGAGAGGAGTGAGTTTACTTCTACTTTTTGAGTGTTGTACCATCACCACTCATCTGGACTGTTTGTCAGGTACTATATACTGAGTGAACCTACCTCGAAATAGATAAAAAATAAAAAAAACATTGAGCCAATTGGCAATCAATAAATTCTCAATTGTCTTACAGACAAACAATTCACATAAAATCAAATTATATTTAAGATAAATAAAAAAACAAAACAAATTTAAGAAGAATAATAATGAAATAATTTAATCAATATAATTAGATAGTAATAAATAAGTAATATAACAATAAGAAACAATAATAAAATAAATAGTGCAACAATAATTATTAATAATCAAATCAATACAGTAGCAATAGGCAATGTAAAAAGGCAAACATTGCATTCTAAAAACATATCTTATGAAAAATCAAAAATGATAAATACATGGAATAATTAATTATAGATAAAATTACTTAGTAAAAGTACTGTATCAAAATAATAAAGAAAACAATGAGCATAATAAGAATTAGCAGATCAATAAATGAAGAGCGAATGTCGGCCAAAAACGAGCCATTTATATACGTTAACTCATTTCAACTTACATTCACTGTTGCAGTGAGGTTCTCATTTTCATGATATTCTTAATAATAAAATAGTGCTTAATAAATTAACTCTTGCTTTTGCTTATTTAGTTGTCTGAAATACCATGTCTTTTTAATTTTCTTGACGTAAGTTCCTTTCAGAAATTAATTTCTAAAATTGCATGAACCAGTGAGTTTAATGCAGTTTAGGAATGGCTGTATTGAGCATTCTCTCTCCAAGTCAGTTAGTCGCGGAAATTTGAATTTGTATTTCTATATTAGTATTCATAAGTTGTTGCCCCTGTAAGCCTCTTATCAATTTTTGAAAAAATTTATTTGTTAGAATTTGAAATAATATAATCCTTTAACAGCGTTATTCCATGCATAGTTCTACCTATTTTCGAAGATTAATATGTGATTATTATATAATTTTTCATGGGCTTTTAAATGCACTTTAAAAAAAATTCGGCACTCTTCGACAACTGCAATTGTGAAGAGACAATTTTTTTTCTACGAAAATGTAATCCTATAAGAGCTTTGATAAGATTAATTTTTAATTTTTGAAAATATGGAGTATTTAATGTTGTAATTTGGTGGCAAACAAAGTACGCCCACTCCCGGAATTTACTGTGCTTTCATGAGCATTGAGCTGAAAGCTCTATCCGCTATTCCTATAAAGAAGATAGTTAATAAGAACGTAATTAATTTAACTTAAAAATAACAAAATTACTTCTTTCCTTCAAAGTAATTTTGATACTAATTATGGTACGTTCATTATCTGTAAAGTTAGAAATTACTACTGATTCCTGCTATTGAAATAAACACTGCGTATCCAGCACAGGGCGCTTCCTTTTGAATTGGTTGGGTTTGGATTATCATTATTTCTAATACTTAACAGAAAGAAAATTTGGAAAAAAATGAAGTACCATTAATTTTTACGAACAATTTTAATTTTATATTACCAGCATATGCTGGCTGGGTGAGGTAACATGCAGCAATGAAATTTGGAGAATTCATTGTTGACTGGCAACAAATATAGAAACGCGAAATGTTGAAATTCTTTTGAATATTTTTCTTTGTTGGAAAGATTGACATGCAAATATATCAGGCTTTTGTTTTATTTATTTATTATATTCTTTTATTACCTTCAAAAACAGAAAACATGAGTGTAATGTACTCTACGGAGAAATGGAGGGTCAGTGTACCAAAAATCCTTCTACACCAACTATTTCTGGTGTATCCCAGACCTGTTGAATTGGGAAATTCAAGCTGATGAAGAATGAAATGATTAACTCTTCAACAACCCTTCTTTGGTTTTCTGAGGTTAAAACATTCCAAAACCTATTTCAGTTTATGATAATTAATTTGATTTTAAGTTACAAATTTTAAATTTTTTATGTGGTTCTAATATTGCCTACCACTGGCCCTATTATTCGCGCCCACCAGACAGAATTTGGGAACATTCAAAACAAACAAAATTGGTTATGTAGTTGTTTTTTTTTTTTTTTTTTCAAAATGCTATGATTTTTTTAATAGCTAAAAGAAATTAACAAATAAAGTTAAATATTTTTTGTTAGATAAGTTATGTGTTGAAGGTTGTCCTGCACATGAAGTGCTTCACAATTTCGCTTCCCCATTTTCTGCATGTAAATGTGTGCTTTCTGAATTGGAAACACAATGGCAGAGTAGCCACTGCTGCCCGCGAATCGTCGAATATGTTCATTGCAAAATGTGCAAATGGTGGTCCAATCGTACAATATCACTAAATATCTCTCGTCATTACCTGCCAGAGCCTAGAGGAAGATCACTTAAACTTTCACTGTCAGAAGATAAATTTTTCTTTCCTTGATAGCTTGATTTTTCGTTTTGCCGGCAACATGTATCTTCTTTCTGTTTTCCAGGCCTTTGCGGCCATTTTTGCGCGACTATTTGCTTTTCAGGGTAAAGGTTTTCAAGCTTTCATGTATGAAGAATTGGTGAAAATTACACTCCTCTTCGTTTTCATGCAAGGGGGTTTTATTTGAGGTACCGCTCTTATGATCCTGAGCTGACACACTAACCACAGCGTCAGTTATTGAATAGATGGAATGGAGGTTTGTTTTCTGCATTCTCCTTATGTTCACTAACCATGTGATGGCCAACCCGTCATATTGTGACAAACTGCGTTAAATCCAGCATTTATCCGGCAGCATAAACCGGACTTGAGACTATTTTCCTTTTCCTCCATGAAAGTGGTTCTTACAGACCCTATCATCATATGTATCTATGTACAAGTTATTTTAATGTCTAGGAATTTTAATTTGTATATTTTTATTAGATTGCACGAAAAAAAATAATGAAAAAAATATAAAAGTGCATCTAAATATCGCCTACCTAGGGCGGGGAAAAAAAAAAATTTGATATGATGGTAGGCGATATACGAACACATCTACTTAGCAGATCAATGCAAAATTACAAATGCACCTAAAACCGTTAATTTTCACTAGTAATTACCTTCTTGATTTCTTATTAAACAGCACTATTGGTGATGTTAATAAACTGTGATTTGGAAATTCCTTAACCTTGAAATATATTTTGATGCAGAAGAAAAAAAGCTTACAAGAGCAAAATAACCCTCAGGCGTGATATTGTAGTTGTTACGAAAACTCGTACATCTATGTTAGTGCTGCTGTAGCTCTACCGCCAGAACTATAAGTTTCACATAATCTAACCAATTATGTGGAGCGCTATGGACCAGGCGTGTAACATGAATAGGAGTTATTAGGCACAGGTGAGATAATTGGTACACTTGACCCTATTTCTGTGAAAACTTTTTCGTAAATTTCTGGCATTTCTATCCTAGGGCCCATCTACGTATTGATTGACTCTGAATGGCAGATGAAACGGAAACGTTTGTTCCTTAGATTAGTGAAGCAATTTGGAGAAATTTTCGTAGGTGTGAAAACGTATAGAGGCATTACTTAAGGGACTTACTATTTACATTAGACGTTGTTATACCGTAAGTACATCACTTGAAATAAGACAATAAATTACTTTACCTTTCAAAATAGTTTTAAATATCCAGAGACTGCGAGCAGCATCATTAGCAGCTCTTCTCCTACTGTTGAACAGCTATTTGTCCTTCCATCAGAAGTTTGGCCAAGGGACAGCAAGAACAAGGTCTGGATCATTAGTCGGTATTGTCTCCCAGTGGCGTAGACATGTTGTGAACTTTGCAGGTAGCACAATTAAGGAAAATTTTTTTTTTTTTTTGTTTCTTTATTTAATCTTATGCCCTAGAGCGAGAACAAGGAAATCGCTTCCTCCAAATTCAAAGAACGGCGCTCCACTACAATTTCTGGATGCGAATTGTGGGATTCATTATATAAAATTTCCAGCTGGGAGAACGAGGATTTTCAAGCAGGGCCATTGTAACGGTGTTGATGGCATAGGCCTCCATCAACCAAACAAAACACCATCTTCATATTCCCCACTCTCAAACATTGCACGCCGAGCACAATTGTGAAAACTGTGCTGTCGTGAGCAGACCCAGGCCCTCTGGCTAAAATATCTGTTAACTCTATATTCATATGACCGGCCACGTTCAAAGAAAAATATTTTTTTCTATTTCGGCATTTTCTCCTCCTGCACATAAAAATCAAAGCCACTGTCTCAGTGGAAACGGCACATAATTTAAATTTCTCGAATATTTTTAGCAAAGACCTTCATTTACAGAAGAAATCCTAATGTGAGTGCATCAATTGCACAGTATAGTTTTGGAAATCTTGCTATTTCATAAAAATTGAGTTGTTCCATTTATTTCTTCCACTCTCTGAGGGAATGTAATGAACTCCTCTCGTAGGGAGGCAATGGCAACACTAACTCTGAATGATCCTATGTATTGTGGGCTTGCTACATTGAGAACATCTCAGGCTGTGGATATGTTACTGATGTAATCGAGGGCTTCTTTATTTTGTTCAAGTTAACTCAGCGGGCAAACGTTGGGTTTGGGCTGCTTTTTAAAAGAAAATATCTGCTTTATTTACTCCAAATCGACTTAACTGGCAATGGCGCTGATAGGTGTCACAGAAACCTTAGATTACATAGCACTCACCACGGCTACATTTACAATAATGAGCTAAAAATCGAATAGACTTTTAAGCAATTCTGTGGAGAACATTTGTTGAGCCTCGTAAAATATGTGTTCAAAGCAAGTACCATTAAAATATTAAAAACGATTAAATCAGCGAAAAATGCAGAAAAATGTAAAATAGTAAAAAATGCCATAATCGGCTAAATCGACGAAAAATGTAAAAACATGAATATGCAAATTGGTCATTTCGTTTTTGTAGAACATAAAATAACTTTTATGCTTAAACGCCATTGTTCTAAAAGTGCAAAAGAAAAACTGACATTTATAAAATCCGCCCCTAGTTGTTAGAAAATGAAATATAACGTGTACGAGTGTATCAACTTTTAAGAGAACGAACAATTGGTGATGTAGTAAATTACAATGGAGGAAAGTTTGTTTTGGAGAGACGCTGGCCAGAGTTCGAAATAGATGGCCGCATGATGATTATGTGGTTTGATTTAAAGTGAATTACATGTTCAAATACCCAATTAGTGTCTCTAGGGCTAGAAGATAGGCGAAACCTTGGGAAGGTATTAGTTATAATTAGTTCGTGGTTCAAGAATACAGACAAAATATTCGAGAACGGGAGCGTAAAGTTTGTCGATTGAATAGCCATGCAGATCTTTCGTGCAATTATATTTTAATTATGTTGGAACTTTAAGTGTTTTATTGAATCCTCAAGACTGAGGAGAACAGACAGCAACGTTGGATAAGTAGAAAGCCAGCGGTAGCTAGAATTATATTCGAAAATACCACTGTTCGGGCGGCTATGGGAGATACACTGTTGCGGGAGTCACTAGATACATAACAACAGTGTGTGTGTTTCGCTTATACATTGTCCCTTACTTCGCTCGTCATTGCTCCGTGGCTAATTAATCAATCTATCTATCGAAAGAATCAAACTCCATCGCTTCTGCAAAAGTGCGGCCGGTGCCGTTCCGGTCCGGATGTTCCGTAATGGCCTGACTCGCACGACCAGCCAAGCGCGCCGTGCGGACGGACCAATGGGTTTCCTACTTCAATAGCTCAGTCAAACTACATCAAAAATGGCGATCGAAGAAAAAATACCGGAGTTTTGAAACTTGGCATGCCTGTTTGTTGGTACCTACTGCGTATCATACTAAAAACCCTCAGTATGGGTGGTGAGACGGAGCGGGCGATTGTTTGAAGTGCTGTTACGAAGTTTTTTGCATATAACTCCATAAACAATCAATCCACAGGAAAGTATGTTGTGTACAAAATTAAGTAGATGCAGTTTTCTACAAAAAATTCTTATCAGATTATGTTGTAAAATAGCCATTTTAGTGTTAGGCTGGGGATCAAATGGCTGAGCAGGGTCTGGTGGGGAGTACTGAGCCCATAGGTGCTCACCAAAAACCAGATATACCCCCCTGTAATGAAGATTCCCGATTTGGGAGCAAGGTCAGCAAGTCCTATCTCTCTCCTCCGCGGTGGCGGCCCGTGCATACTCTTTGTGGTGAGAATCTCAGAGAGTAACTAATGAGGAGGTCGGAAGGCGAGCTCTGGCGTCTTAAAACGAGAGCATTGGGCTAGGGGAAAAAAAGAAAGGGAGGGGCCTCTAAAGCTGGAAAACCTCTCACCCTAAGGAAAGGACATCTGAAATCAAACCCGGCCCTCCAGGGTGGGGTTGAGCACAGGGTTGTGAATCGATCTCGGAAAAATCCACCAGAATCCAATCACATTATTTGATGACGTTTTAATTAAACGCGATTCGTTTAGAAAAAATGTATCTTCATAAATGTAGTTGTAGGAAGACGCCGAAAAAATTTAGACTTTTTTTTTAATTTCGAAAAATCTGGGGTTTCAAACAAGATACACGCACCATTATCTTAAGGGCCGGTTTCACCAACAGCCGAGTAAAGTTTAGAGTAGTTACCCGAGAGAAACCATTAACTCCAAGATAGTATTTCTCAAGTAGAATATGAGCGTTTCACCATACTTCTGGAGGGTTATTTTACTCTACAGTACATACTGTCCTATTTACTCCGCAAATCAGCTGAACACACACTATTTGAGAGCGATTCAAGAGGCTGTGAGCAAGAATGACACTGGGAACCAATGCGGACCAACGTGAACCTTTGATTAATTCCCTACATTCTATCATTCATTTCAGTTTCGGTGTTCTTGGCGTTATAATCTGGTGTGGTGTTATGGTGGTTTGTGTTAGCATAGTTTATTTCCTAGTTTCTGTATCTTTATTTAGTAATAAATATGCATTCTTCGTTGGAGACGAGTTACTATTTTGTTAGCAATGCAGAAAAATCTAATTTGCAGTTCGTTTACCGATGGCGCTGCAAATGAATTTTCTATAACTAGGGAACGAAAATGTTTAGTTTTTCAAATGTTGCCGATCTCGTGTTTTTCTAAATTTTATTATTATATGTTGTTTTGTTTTTTAAACTTTCATCTTTCGACTGTTTATAGTTAAAATGTTGGAAATGGATTCTGGAACTCAAGAAAACTTGCGCAAATGATCTCCCCCATACGTCACATACAGTTTTTACTGAATAAATAAATAAATATTTTTTAGTACTTGTAGTTCCTGTTGTTATTACTTTTCCCTTTCTTGTCGTATTCGGTACGTACTACCTTTATTTCGTATCCACATGGCACAAAAATAACTTTAGAAGTTCTCTACAGTTTACAATGTGTCTGATGAAGTTAATCAGCTGATTTGGTCAAACATAACCTCATGACAAAAATCTCGATCGTCATAATTAAAACCAATCCATTCTCTCTCGCACCCTTTGTCTTCGCACTAGTGGATAATATTCCGCGTCATTGCTGGAATCGTCTTCAAATACTATCATTCGTAATCGTCGAACCGTAACAACACTTCTCAGGTGCATGCACGTTGAAAACTGAATTTACTCCGTACTTTACCCGACGGATTTTCCCGGTGTAAAGTTACTCTCGTGTAAGCGATTTACACTCGAGTAAAGTGTTGGTGAAACGGTCCAAAAAGTTACTCTCGAGTAAACAAGGTTTACTCCAGAGTAAACTCTTACTCTTTGCTTGGTGAAACCAGCCCTAAATCTCCTTAAGACTCCACAAAACTTCATCAAAAACGATGGAGTCGTTTTTAAAAAAAACAACATTTTTAACAAAATAAAAAATTGAGAAAGACGCCAAAAAATAAATTTTGCAATTTTGCAATTTTCGAATAATCAGAATTTTTAACGAAAACGAACTGCTCCGATCCCTTGACACTAGGGAACAGTCGAACAACGAAGTTTCATAAAAAAACGGTGGAGACATTTTTTTGAAATGTTTGAAAATATCCAAAGGGCTTCATGTTAAGTAGCCCCCCAAAATTAAAATATCGGTTTCAATTTCAAGGAGCCGCGACAATTTTGTAGAAAATCGGCTGAATGGTGTAGCCGCTAGCGTTCACAGACGGACGTTTTGCCGTCAATCGATTTTTCGGTATGAAGGACCCACAAAACATGGTTTCTGGCAGCACCATGTGTTCGAGGACTTGTTAATAAATTTAGCGTCTGCATTTATTCACTTTTTCGTTGCCAGGGCTCTGTAATGAGTTTTTCGAAAATTCACAGTTTTTTCGCGTACAATTAGATAACTTTCTCTCTACCGCAGTAGCGAGAAAGTTCAAATGTAAATTGTATTAATTAAAGAACTAACTGTTGAGTACAAATTTTATTTGAAAAATATGTCTTCAATGTGGTAGTTTGCCAAAACTTCAAACTTAATATTTTCGAAAATTAAGAGTTATCAATCAAATCGCAGCTTTGCAATCTTTATAACTATACTTCACTCTATGCTTATCGTTTTAAGAAGAAAACTGGAAAATAAAACATTTATTAATTTTTTAGAAAAGAAGAAAACGTCCCAGGAGCTTCAAATAAAGCAATCAAAAATTTAAAGAATTTATCTAAAATTCGCAGGGCTGCAAGTCGAGCCAGATCGAACAAGGAATATTCGTTTTGGGGAAAAAATGCAATGGATAGTTAAGGCGCTAGTGCTGTTCATGGACAGACATTTAAACAGTTATTAAGTTTCGGTATTGGAAGTCCCCAAAACGTATATTTCCGTTGAAATCACGTAATAGGTTTTCCGCGTCATTTTAAATTTTCTAAACTGGGAATATTACTCCGTGTATACGTACTATATGAGGAAGCAACTATAGAATGGCATGGATGTATTCGTACTAATTATTTGTCAAGACCAGCTTTCCGATTTGTCCCTCCCACCTTCCCAGCTGCCATCAATTGCCACATAAAGGGCATTTTTTCGCGTTTTCTAATTTTTCCCCTAGATCCCTAATAGAGTATAAATTGAACATTATGATTTATAAAAGGGTAAACATCGTTCTACTTGTATATAAACTCTTTCATTATAAAAACGGATCCAAAGTTTTTAAAGTATAATTTGAGCAGATCTGAAATAGCACAGTTGAAATATTACAAAATACTTGTGTGTTAGTTTAAGAAAATCGAATAAATACACGAAAATTAGGTTTTTGTGATGTTATTCGTTGCATATAGAACTGGGACCAACAAAACGGGGATTCTTACATTTCAAGAACTTTACTACTACATACAGGAGCAAGATTTATCCACCTGTCCGTTATTAGAGGCAAACAATAAATTTCTTGTCGACACACCATTACAATACTTTATACTCTATAAGCAGTATGCGAGAAAATAAACCAAAGAAACAATTCGATAAACAAAGTAAAATAATTTGTAAAACGATATGTAGTTTTTTAAATGACTACTAAATGGAGTGACAAAACAAAATAAACAGTATTATATTAGTGTTGAGTCACCCGCTCTAAAATATTCGTTGTTTGCAGGTGACCATGGACTCAACCCCTTCAGAAAGGCGCCAGCTGGACGACACCCTGAAGGAGCAACTCATCAAATGGAAAAGAACGACTTACCGAAATTTATGAACTATATTCCAAAGTAGACGAACGATATACCAAATGGATGAACGAGTACCAGACTCGAAGAACAACTCCCCAAAACGGAGGAGGTTCTCGGGCGGATTGTGGCGAAACAATGTCACGGGAGTGGAGGAATCGCGCAGCACAAACTGAATATTTTACTGCCTAAGGTGGACGAAGTTCTCGCATTCTATCAGAGAGCGTCTACCGCTCCCAATTCTGAGAGTCAATTCCATCCAGCACGGCTCTCTGCAGCCACTACCTCTTCGCTCACCCGATCTTCATCACTCAACATACAACTTCCTGGATCTGACCACCGCATCTGCAGTGCGTTAAAGAGCGCTGCGAGGAACGTACCGCAAACCGCAGTTGGCTCATCCCTCAGAGAGCGTCCTCCACTCCCACTTCCAGAACCAATTCCTCCCAGCACAGCCCTCTCCTCAAGTCACGACGTTCTTCTTCACTTCCACTCCCTCTCCAATATACACTTCCTGCATCTACCTCGTCCGCTGAGACTGGTCACGGAATGCTGCAAGGAAAACGTTTCTAAACGTTGGCCCTCCAGCCCACTCCATCCATGGCGCCCGGCCTCCTCCAGCCCCTCCATAGATGCCCGAAGTCACTTCTGGAGGCTGCGGAGAAGGAGATGTGGCAGCACTGCGGCGCTTTCTCGCCTGATCGGAGGAAGAGTAAATGCGCGGCGGAGCGCGGCAACACCGCGCTGCGAGCAACGGCCGCACGGAGCTGGTGACCTGCTGATTGGCGAACGGGAGCGGGGTGGACAACTGGGCTAACCAGCGTCGCACCCCGCTGCACTGCGCGGCCGCCAACGGGCACTCGGCGCACGGTGGCGCGCCTGGTGGGCGCCGGGGCAGCAGTGGAAGCGCGGCGACGTCCGGGGCGCCACCGCCGTCGCCCTCGCCGCCCGAGGAGGCCACGCGGTCGCGCTGGCAGTCGCTCCTGAGCAGGCGCGTCCGGTGGACACACAGAGGACGTCGACGGAAGGACGCCCCCTCTCGCACGCCGTCAGGGGAACTTCTCCGCTGCGGTCGCTCTGCTGGCCGGAGAAGGGGGCTGACGTAACGCGACAGCAAGGGCGAAGACACTCCACTCATGTATGGTTTAAAATACGGAAGCCCCGAGATAGTGACATGTTCTGGAGAACGCGAGCAGACGTGAACGCGACTGCCGAGGGCGAAGACACTCCACTCATCTTTGCTTTAAAACACGGTAGCCCTCGAGAGAGTGACATCACTCTTAGAGAAAGGAGCCGATGCTAACGTGATTGCCAAGGACGGTGACCCTCCTCTGCTGATCGCCACCAAACTCGGTAGAAGCGCCATCGTAACTTGGCCTCTTGGAGAAGGGCGCCGACGTGGACGCGCTGGCCGAGACGGCGAGACTTCGCTCCTGAGCGCCACCAAGCAAGGAACGCAGAACTAGTGCATGTCTTGTGGAGAGAGGGCAAAGGTTGATGCAACCGACAATACGGCCAAAACCCTCTGCTGATCGCCACTCATCACGAAAGATCCTCGATCGTTACTTGTCTGTTGGAGAATGGGGCCAACGTGAACAAAGCGGATATTAATGGAGACACCCCGTTATTGGTGGCAGTGAAAAATCAAAAAAGAGATTTTGTACAAATTCTATTGAGGGAAGGAGCTTCGCCAACAAAGAAAAACAAGAAAGGCGAGTCTCCGCTCTACGTTACCGCGAGAGACGGACACGAGGATATTCTTGAACTTTTGCTGCAAGCGGTCCAAAAATCCGAGAGGGACGAGATAGGACGCTCCCTGCGAGTGGCTGCTAGCGCGGAGGTGGTGTGGATCTTGGCTGACGCGGGTCGTGACGTGGTGCTGGAGGAAGCAGGGATGGAGGCTTTAGTTGCTTCAGCGGCGGACGGACGCCAGGAAACGCTTCAGGCGCTGTTGCAGCTAGGCGTCAACGCCAATGCGACCTACGCGAATGATGGATGGACCGTATTACACGTAGCTGCTTGGAGAGGCCACACCTCGTGCGTGAGCATGCTGTTGAAGGCCGGCGCCCTAGTGAATGTGAAGGACGAATGCGGCCAAACTGCTCTGCATGTAGCCGCAGATAACGGGAAAAGTGAGTGTGTCGTCGTGCTGCTGGAGAGCGGCGCGGACGCGAACTCACCAGGAAAAGATGGTTACACTGCTGTGGATTTGGCAAGACAAAACAATCATCAAGATTGCGTGCTCGAGATCGAGCGGCGATTAGTCTAGAGACGAAATTTAAGGACTCTTTGGAGACAACTGCCGCACGATTCTCTTCACGTTCACTGTACGTTTTACAAAAGAAGAGCAAATGTGCCCTCTGTGACGGATTAATTTTAAACACACCTGATTAGAGAAAAAGTGCAATTTTCAAAAAAATGATAATAGATAGAAAATTTTATACTTATTGCAACATTTTTTTATAAATCGTTACAAAGATGGGTTTTAATTTTTCAGGTGTGAAAAGTTGTGTGATTTCGGTCCAGAGAAGCATGAGAGGGAATTACTATTGTTTTTGCATTTTGGTTCGTTAGGGCTATTTTTGGTTAGTTTTATGGGAAGGTAGATTTAGGGTTTGGGTAGAAAGGTTTATTTCAGGTTAAGTTGTGATTTTGATGGTTTTTGTTGATTGTCGGATTGGTTGAGAGTACATCGTCTCATTAGTTCGTTGACTTTGCCTAGGTAGGTGGAGAGGGAAGCTGAAAGATTTCTAATGGGTGTTTTTTAATTCGGTTTTTGGGTGATTTTTGGAGGATGTGGAAGTGTGGTGTTAGCAATTGGATGAAATTTTGGTCAGATAGGATTTTTTTAATTTCGTTTTTGCTGGTGTTGTGAAGGAATGTAAGGATGTGTGGGATTTGGTGTTGGGAGCTGATGTCGTTGTATCTGGTTAGTGGTGGAGGACGGAATATTAATCTGATTATTCTATTTTCAAGTAGGGTTATTTTGTTGTTTTATGGATGTGTGGTATTTTATGGATCCATGTTGGGTGGGCGTAGGCAAGGACGGGACGAATGTAGGTGTACTGGAGGAATATTTTGTTCTTGATAGAGAGAGAGAGTGGTGAATGAGGATTGGTAGCAGGGTGTTTATTATACGGTGGGATTTGGTTAAGGACTGGGTTATATGGTGGGTCCATAGTAGTCTGAGGGAGAAGTGAATTCCTAGGTACTTTGCTGTTTGTTGCCAAGGGATGAGGTGTTGGGAGATTTGAAGGGGTGGGGGTGAGGTAGGTAAGTATAAGTACTTACTTCCCTCTCCCCCGAATTGAAGTTAACCAAACAAATTGCAGCTCAGAAAACGCCATGACAAAAAAAACCGTCAGTAAAATAACCTTTCAAATTCTTCTCCAAACTATCTATATAATTCCTACATCTCTTCCGCCCTTCAACAAAACATCCTTTCTATTCCCCCCTCTCTATTCTTCAACCTATTTCACTTGCAACAAAACAACCTTCAACTACCCCTTGACCTACCATCTCCCGCTTCTCTGGAGAACGGGAGGCATCTGACCACATTTAACTTGAAGCAACAAGATCCAGGAAAGAGGACATGGATCCAGGCCGTTCACCACCAACTACATCCAACAAAAACCACCAAGGGCGAGAAAGTCCGAACTGTTTTAGCACCACTAGTTTACAATTTAAATGAACCAAACTGAATGTTATAAACCATGCTCCCAAATTGTGGTAGATAAAATGCATTTCAATATTTCATGTTTATTAACTTTAAGCTTTGACTTAACTGATATAACTTTTATAATTATTAATTTTAAGCTTTGACTACTTTTCGATTACAGACTTCATCGAATCCAAATCTTTTTTCCCCATAAGTCAAGGCTTTGCTATAAACATTCAAAAATTCCTTTTTCAAACTTTTGATTTTCATAAAAAGTCAAGTCTTTGCATGACTTCATACCCGAAAAACTGTTTCCCTATCCTAGGGGGGAGTTGTTGCTTGAAGTCATTCAAAATCGCGTACAAGTCAATAATTGTGGTACTATCTTTTTGTAATTGGCAAGTGATTGGCAAACAATAGATTCATCCGAACTGTGGCAGGTATTTCTACCTTTTAAAATTGCAAAACGTTTTTTAAAGCCGCAGGCAAGTTCTTAACATTACTGTGAAAATATGAAACTAATGCCGGCCATTCTCGTAACAATCTTTCTACACAAGGTTGTAACGATAACCATCGAGTTACAACATGGCGTGAAAAATCAGGAAATGCAACATTTAAAAATTCACAAAAGCTTTGAAATTCACTTCGACGTACCGATGACAAACTAAAATGTGCGTTGATTTTTAAAACAAGGTTCTCAATGTCTACAGACAAATCTTCCAAAGCATATTTCAACGCATGTGCGCGTGACAAGTGGCTTTTACAATATTCGGATATACTTTTTGTAAATTGACGAAGAGCGAATGAATACGACCGAAATTAGCGTTTGTGTTCTCAGCGCTCAGAGCTGTAACTTCTGAAAAATCTAAATTTAAATCTTTAAAACAAATATTGATGCAAGCAAACATGCCATCTGCAGATTCATCGCAATTTTCGTAAAAATCGATAATATTTTGCTGCAAACCATCGTTTCGTGAAAAATACTGTACCACTAATGGGAAAATTTTCCTATTTTTCTTGTTAGATGAATCAGTCATAATAGAAAAATACGAATCGTTCGTTTTTATTTCGGTAATCACGTCTTCTAATATTTTTGGTCCTAACACGTTTTCACCAATTGCCTGTGCTTTTGTCCTTCCACAAGAAATTTTGCAAGAGTTATTATCTTTTGGCAATACGCTAGGAACAAGTTTCATCAACCAATCTAACGAGTTATAGGATTGGTTATGTTTTACTGCATTATATATAAGAGCTAGTTTAATTGCAATAATTTGTAATTCTTCATGAGTATCCTTTTCAATGACGAATTTTTTCATCAATTGAGAACTAACAGATGCTTTCATCTTCGAGCGATGATGTTCACTATTTTCATGCTGCTTGATGGCAGAGACACCTTTCAATTCAATAGAGAGGAGAATATTTAGATTAGGATAAACTAATAGCCATTGACAAACATTGTGATGAGATAGTAAGTGACAATACTCCGGCTAACATCGCACACATAATCTTATAAAGTGATAGTAAGTACTTGTGAGTTTCATTCTAGACTCAGATGAGTGTTACTATTAATTCTAACCGATATTATAGCGATTATAATCTTGTATGGTATATTACACACCTTTCCTAGAAAGCGTTCAGCATAAACACATATTCTTATGTTGATATCCTATAATAGACTATCACTCAATGATGGCTAAAATTATACTCTAGTAATATTCTCCCCTCTACTCAACAGAAAATGCACAACGAAAGGTATGTATCAGGAAACTCCCTCACGTTCTGCGCAGACTCGTAAAAGTGTTTATTCTGTTAATACGCTGGCCCTGGTCCCCCTGTTTCCTTCCACTTAAATGGATTATTTTACCATATACACAAGGAAAAAGGTTTAAACATTATTAAAATTAAGTGAGAATTAAATTCCCGCTTTTTTTATTAGTTTTACAAATATTAATTTTTTTCCTTAATATCAATAAAATTTCCATTTTTTTATTATTGGCTAACTCCTCTCTAAGATGTTATTACTGTGCATTAGCAAACATTTTTCTCCAAATCTAGAATTAACATAGGCCTTGGAAGAATTTATCGTGTTTTTCTCTGAAACAAGCTGGTGTGTGTGTATTGTTCCTAAATTTGCTTACTATCTACAGACATAGGAAATGCTAATAAAAAACTAATATTCAATCCAAAGTTCCAGTTAGTATATACATACTACAAAAGTGTTTTAATTTGTTCCATTTCATCAGCAATGCTCTTTTTAAAATGTAAAATATTACATTGTAAATTTTTTTTTTTTTTCTTGAAATCTTACAATTATTGTGAAAAAAGTTAAAAAAGAAATGATTATTCGTTGTATTAAGTATGTTCGATTTGATTTTAAGTTCCTTTCATCTCTATAAACTTAATATTTGTTAATATTTTGAAAAAAATAACTTAAATAATGATTTTTTAATAGTTTATTCATTGTTATATAATCAATGATTGCAATCTATCCGAGCTTATTTTTGGTGACTTCTATAGCCGAAAATGGTTGTAATTTTTGATACCATATCAATCATTGTGATTTTGGGGTAAGTCTTTCAACAAGGAAAATGAAACAAATTTAGATAAATATACTAGTTTTAAGTGTTTGGCCAGTTGATTTGTCCTTGTAGTTAGGGGAGTAATAATACGGTAATATGCTAGTGTTCCTGGGATTAAACCGAGGGAATTTGCATTGTTTACAAAAAAAATTTATGAAATGAAATTTGTGGAAGATATAACAATTTAATGATGTGGCAGTTTCTCCCTAGTTTAGCATTCTTAACTTTAAAATAAATAACTGGCAAGAATTTTCTTCTGTTAGGCAGCATACAAGATTTTTTTTTATTTTCTATGATGCTACCTGATTGGTTTTGGCTCATTCATGACAATAGTCTTCCACAAAGTCCACCACAAACTATCCTCATTGAAAAACCTTAACATTGGGTCACAACATACGGAATGTTACAAATGACAGAATTTTGCGGGTTAAGTAGAAAAATGGATTAGATTTTTAAGCTATATTATCAATAATATCTATACAATTTATGTGTTCAGATGTTTCATTAGCAATTCAAATTTGAGCTACATTTAATTAAAAATCATGCTATAATAATATTAACCTTTCTTTAGCACTGAAGTTGTGAAATATCCAAAAAAAGTAAATTATAGCCTATCTTAATATTTTTAAGAATAAACGTAGATATTTATGGGTATATTATTTATTACACACAGTTTTTTTTATACCTTCGAAACGAAGTTTTAATTGTTCACTATGTCAAAATTGTTTTGATTATTGAGTATATATTTCAGTGCTTGTTAGGAAAGTTTTTTCCTAAACAAGGCAATTATTATTCGAAATATTATTTGCTGAAATAATATTTGTGTCTATAATATCTCGAGACAGTCCAGTCCTGCAGCATCAAGGGAAAAATGATTTCACTGGGCCACTTTGTACTAACGATTTCTGAAATGTCTTTGAGAAGACAACAGGCTGGTGCTTGTAGGAAACACTGTTGATACATTCCAATTTCTAATGTTAAAGTGAAGTCGAATTCGTTTGTATCTTGTCCAGTTATCACTGGGCAACTCGAAGATTCCCTCCAGAAGGGAAAACGGTAACTCGTCACGCTAAGCAATAAACTTAATTACAATTTTCATCATACATTCATGAGAGTGTACCTATTCAAGAAATGCAACATAATGAATTATGTATTTTTGAAAAGTAGGAATTTTGAATACGCAGGGTATTCCAACAATGAATATATGGTTATAACAATGAACAATTATCAAAACCGTGTCCAATACATACAGAAAATAATATAACTACAATACTTTTTAAAAAAATAGAACAGGAATAAAATGACATGTACAGGTTAGGTTTTATACTAACGTACATGGATTACCGGATTTTTAAGACTATTTTGCATGTGCAAATGTTCACAAAATTAAATACTCAATACAATACGCAACTAAGATTCCAAAATTATTATAAATACCTCTCACTGCTGGTGAGGGTGAAAATCCTAGCATGTACTTGTCTAGCACCAGTTTCTTAAATATCATGTCTGCCTAAATACTGAAAACTCAAAGTTTTAGACAGACAAATAAATATCGCGACATAAGTCACTTTACTTACAATGCACGGACATTATTACATACTAACAAAAACGCTGAAAAAATTCGATAAAAATGAGCAGCTACCTGCTTGCAGCCTGCACGTAACGAAAAACACACCCGCTACATTGCCAGCTTTTGAATTGCATGACGGTCTACACCGTTTAGTTTCGGCTCACG